CTTGATTCGACGAATGCATCCTCAAGCTTTTTTAGTGCTGCTCGATTCTTGTCCTTTTTTTTATTGTTTGATGATGATGGTGATGATAACGACGATGGTGATGATGAAGATGACGATTCTATAACTGAATATGTAAATTCTAACTCCATGGCCTCCAAATACTCCCACCTGATACCAATTTGCCAACCGTTGAAATTGTAGATTACCATTGATGTATTGAAATCTAATAAATATAAATAATACATTCATGTATTATATGTTAGTTTAATCACGAAAGAAATTTTTTTACCTAGAATTGATAGGATATGATGCCAAAGTATTTGTTTCAAGATTTTTTTGTTTTAGTGACTCCGTTGTAGATCTTTCATTAAACCAATGATCCCATGCCATCCCTGTGTTAATGTATGTGCCAGTGCATATCAATAGAGGGAGGGTTTGTGGCAGTTGCTCATGGCCACCAGTACCAACATCATTGTTATCATTAACACCATTATTGCTGCTATTATTGTCATCATTCTCATAATCGTATCATTATCATCATCGTCATTATTATTAACAAAAGAAACCTTGGTCGATTGAATTAATGTGAGCTAAAAAAAAGCAAATGAGAAATTTAACATTATAAAAGTTCAAGCAGTCTCGGTTGTTGATATTGGTATCAGTGATACATACATATTTACAACGATCTTCTAATGCAGTTTGTATGATATCACCGATTTGAAGCCTTTTTCCTTGGTCATTAACATCGCCCCCACAAAATTTCTTGAAAATCAGTTCTTCGTATTCATCAACTTCGGTCCTGAAAATTGCAGTTCCTCTAAGGTTATTTGTTCAACCAACGACTTGATATGTAAACGAAACCAGTAAAAATAGTACACATTATTTATCAATATTAGATTATCAGATAGTTAAATTAAATTTTTGGTTGTTAAATTTTTGATTGAATTTTTCGTTAAATTTCCATCAATTTACCTTTATTTATTACAATAAATACTTTCCGAAGAGAAAAAAAATATACGCAGCCCTGTAAAAGTGAGTTTGGTTAGTAAATTTTTAATTTCAATTTCACATAAATTTCTTTACATAATCAACATGGTGTGAGGTTTGATTTTATTATAATGTAATCAAATTTTTTATGAATATTCGAAAATCAATTTATTCAAGGATATCTGAATATATATAATTTATTTCATAATTATTTCGGATACTCGTAATTATTTTGAATATAATCATTTCAAACATTTGTTATGAGATAATATTGTAACAATTCATGAATAATTATCGATTGAACAAATAATAGTGCTAACTTATTTGTAACTTGTCCTACTATATAACAAACATTTTTCAAAGATAATGAAGATAACATATTTTTTACAACAATTAAAATATTTGTTTAGAAAACATTTTCATTTAAAAAGTAAGTAATTCTTTCAAAACCCAAATAGAATTTGCAGAAAATTTTTTCCTAATACTTCAATTGTATAAATCATTTTTAAAATGTCATAATATTCTTACACCTGATAAAAAATTTTTTTGATTTGTATGATGATATAATTTATTAATAAGTTTTTGATATACTGTAGCTTGAAATGAACAGTAAATTGATGATGTCAAAAAAGAAACTTTATCGATTAAAGAACAAGAAAAAAATCAATAATAGTTTGTTAAAATTTATACGAATATGGAGTTAGGAACCCTACTCTAGTCTCATCTGTGATTGTGGAAAAAAAGTTTTTTTTTTAATAAAGCGAAGTTATAATTAAAATTTCTTTGTTCCTAGTAAAAATTAGTGAAGATTATTTCAATTTTTTTTATTTTACACATAATTAAATTATGATGTAAATAATTTTTTGTAAAAACCAAAGTACCTTAAAAATTATATAGTCACACAACATAAATTTGAGATCGACAGATGGACTTAAAAAATCTTAAATCCAATGTTTTGCCAATCAAAAATATATATTAATAATATATATTTATTTTCTTTCCACGCTACACTATTTACATTCACATTCTTTAACATTCACATTCACATTATATTTTTTTTTAATTAGTAATAATAATATTAATAATATTATTAAAAGAAGAAAAGAAAGGATCGTGTTACTAAAGTGTAAGTATTATTTATTATTAAAAGAGTGGTAATTGCAGTGTGTTGCAGCTTGTTGTCATTCTAATTATATAAATTAACATATTATTTATTTACATTAGTTATTGTTTGTTTCGCAGAAGAAAAAGACGATAACAAAGTAAATAATATATCTCTTTGAATGTGTTAGAGTGACCGTTTTGTTTTTAATTGGCCTAGAGTTTTTGATATTAACCTATTTTGAACTCACAGGAAAACGAGGCCAAACTGAACAATTAATATCATCATTTTGAACCATGTTTTCATCGCCTTTCTTTTGAAAATCAGAAGCTTTAACGAAAGAAATTTTATTCTTAATTGGCAAAAGTAAAGGGTTAAAAATAGAAAATATAAAAGAAGTAGAAGATAGGGAAAAGGACGCAATTTTCCTTCTTCAAACTTCTCTAGATACAAATTTTCTGCTTTTACCAATACCAACACTATTACATTAATTGATCTGGAATTATTATCATCACCATTACAAGACATTAATTTAATACAAACATTCTAAATATTAATAGTAGTGATTGCAAACATTATTTGGTGAATGTGAATAATACGGATTTATTAAATCCTAATAGTTTAGGTTTACAAATTTCTTCAAACAGAAATCTCTTGATCAACATTCCTTTTCTTCTCCTTCTCCTCCTCCTCCTTTTACAAGACATTAATTTTAATACAAATATCCTAAATGTTAATAATAGCGATTACGAACATTATTTGGTGAATAAGAATAATATGGATTTACTAAATCCTAATAGTTTACAAACTTCACCAAATATCGACTATCTTAATCAATGTTCTCTTTCTTCTCTTTCTCTTTCTCCTCCTCCTCTTTCTCCTCCTCCTCCTCCTCCTCCTTCTTCCAACGATCAAACTCCTAACAGCTATCCTCATGTTCATCATGATGGTAATATTTTTGCAATAAGAAAAGCTCCTTTGAGGAAGAAATAGCAAAAAATTTTAAACCAGACTTAAGGTTTCGAACTGGCGTGATGGATAAAATTCAAAAGGTACACTTTTTAACTAAAAAATAAAAATAATCTTTTTAACAAGTATTAATCATTCAACTATCTTTGAAATTTATCTTAATGAAAATGAAAAATTATCAAATACAGAAGATTTCTACGATGTAAAAATCCATGTTGGTATGGAACCAAACATCAAAGAAGTTTACGCACATTCATCAATTATATGTGCTCATTGTCCATTTTTTCAAAATGCATTGACTGATGCAAAGAAAGTAAATGGTTACTATATTGTTGAGAAAGCAAATCTTAATCAATTGGCCTTTAAGACGATACTTAAGTAAGTTTGTTATATTATTGATAACAGTTTAATAATAATTTCATCATTTGTTTATTTTTTAATTTAATAATAATAATACATTTTATATTTAAAAGATTTTGTAAACCTGCAAAATTGAATTGCATGAGTTTTAATGGAAAAGATGAATCGCAATTATTGATTGCAGCAGATGAACTTGGCCTCGAGTTATTTTACAAACACACAATGAATTACTTTACTAGAAACATGAAGATTACATCCAGTTAAAATTCCAAGATCAATTTATTCCAATGAAGAAAATTTTAAAGGATTGAAAAATATTTATCTTGAAAAGTTTTATGATTACAGCGAAAAATTATTTGAATTTGAATTATTAGAAAAATCAACTTTATTGTCAATATTTGAAAAAAATGATTTTCACATTGATGAAATAAAATTGTATTAAATAATAATAAATTTTGAATTTAATAATTTGTCACAAAAATTTTTTATGCATGAGATTGAATAATTAAATTTAGTAATGTGTCGCGAAAAATAAATTGAATTGAATTTAGTAATGTCTCGCGAAAAATAAATTGAATTGAATTTAGTAATGTCTCGCGAAAAATAAAGTACAGTCAAACCTCGTCACAGTGGATTTCTTGTTACAACGAATTTAAATATTGGCCCTTTTTTTATTAATTATAATTAAAAATGTGTCATAACGGATCTTATTATTATTAATCTTATAGTAATAGTTAATAGATTTGTTCCACAACGTTAACGGATTTTTGATGGGGTCTTTATAAAAGATAAAGGTGCTACACAAGCTTGACAGACTATACTTACCATTTCACAGATTCCTTTATTATTATGTAGAATTACAAGTGCTTGTCTTGTTTGATACAATACAGAGTAATCATTTGGTTTTGATGTATAGACAGGTTTAAGTCTATTGAATATTTCATTTTGTAAGGGTTCCGATTCCTTTTCCAACTGGAAGCTTAAAGATAGTTTCTAACATTGTTTTGTTCAAAAGGTGCATATGCCCTGAATGTTGGTTCTTTTAGTTGCACTTCCAGGATTTTGCTTGATTCAGCACACTCCTGGCCAACATAAATCATGATTGTCACATAAATGCTGGAGTAAACTTTCAATTTGTACATGTCAAATATCTTTTTCTTGAAGACTACAATTTTTTTCATTGGGTTTTCTAAAACCTGCAGCATATAAACATCCTGAAAAATATGTCATAATGTGCTGCTCAAAATCCATTCCATTTGTAACTCTGCAAATATCTGATTGATAATTCTAACATTTTATTTGAATCCAAATCACCATCTATTGTAACATTGAGAAGCCAATCTTGTTCCTTAAGAATTGGTATTAATTTTTCTAAAAGAGAAATTAATATAGCATGCTCTGTTTTATGTGAACTCAACTCAAAGTGACCCTCCTGGATAATTCTCTATTTTTCATTTTCATCTTATGTGGTTTCTCAACAACATAGAAGGCAGTTATGGGTTTATACAAGTAGCCTTTATATAAAAGTTTATAAATAATTTAAATTATAAAATGTTATAAAAATTATGAATAAGTAATTTACCTTCAATATCTTTTCTGCCATAGATCATTCTTGTTGAGCATTATGTACATGAGGCCAAGAGCAATCAAAACTAACTTGTATGATTTGTTTGCTTTATGATGCTCTATAACCTTTTGTAAAACTGTATCAGCACTAAGTTTCTATGATTTCTTTAAAAGTCTTTCCTTGGTATTGATGGAAAGAAGTTTTACCAAGTTGCAAAGTAATTCCTACACAAGCTAAAATCATCTGAAGTGATTATCTGTTGATTCCTCCTACCAATCCTGCTGCTGCCACACAAGCATTGAAATTGGTTTCTGATTTGTTAATAAATTCACTAACAGTCTTGCAAGGTTTGCATTTTACATGAAATTTGACAACAAATCCAGCGGTTGAAACTGTTGTCTTTTTGTTAAGTAAACATATTTGCCATAATAACTGCAAGATTGTTGTAAGTTAATGATAAAAATTGCTCAGTACTGATTAGTATCATTGAATCAAGTTTTGATTCTTCAATAATATCATTAATAATTCTTTATAAAAGTTCCACTTGATTTTCAAATCATTATTGTCCTCTTTTGTCCTGTTCATGTTCAAACATATTTAATTTTTCCTTGAGATGTTTGATTTGTTGATTTGTATTATACAACTGTTGTTTTGTCCTTTTGTGTTTGATCAATAATGCCATGAAATCTTTATAATTTACATTTTTCTTCTCTGTTATAATAATAAATCTTCATAGACCAATGATTCTGATGGAATAGTCTCAAGTTTGCTTTATAGTTTATCACCTTTTTTTGTGACTCCTATCATTTTTTTCTGTCGCCACTTGAGTTTTGGAGATAGGGTGAAAGCTTGGACTTATCAATTGTTGTACAATTCCAGGTATATTAAACCAAGGAGATAAGGGAGTGACACTCTTCCACCAGAATATGCATATGTAATAAGACTTTGAACCTATCAGATTTGGAATTTGAAGCAATAACCTTAGGAAGGACATTAAGATATCTCCAAAGTTAAGCTATGAAAATAAAACCTTTTGATTGTCAGAAATGTTAATAGAAAGCTGAAAAAGACTATTTTTAATGTTAGTAAACCCAAGTAAAATTGGTACCAAGTTTTTTTCCTGATTCCCTTTAATATACCATCATGTAATATCTAAAAATTGTCTAGAACTTGCAATGAGGATCCAGTATCTATTATCAAATGTGAATTATCAGTACATGTGTATGGTGTTGGAAGATAGCAATGTTCATACTGCTGAAATTTAGACATCTCTATTTAATTATAAGAAAAAATTCATATTAACATAATTCTGTAGTGAAAAAGTTGTTTTAAACTAATTTATTTAATATTGCTTAATTTAATAATAATATATAGTGCATGGTAACTCATCTTGAATCTTAAACTACTTATTTAACTTGACTTTATTAATAAACTATACTTAAAATTATACAGTTTAATAACTCAGGTCTTCAAAAAATATGTTGTAAATTTTCATATAAGTTTGATGAAGTCACATGGACTTTTAAAATTTTAAACTTTTGCTATATTATATTTACATATCACGTCAAATTTATTTATACTAAATCGTAACAACAATTCCGCGAATGTATATTTATGCTTTACTCTCAAAACTATCTTTTACTGTCTTTAACCAATTTCTTATATTAAGAAATACTAAATATCTTCTTTAGATTTTACACTCACGTTTCTTGGTGGGTGCCCTTCTAGCCGTTTTCCTCTTTGCTACCAAGTCAGGTACATCTCCAAAACTACTAAATAAAAGTTATTAAATGTTACCTCACTAAAAAAAAGAAAAGAAATAAAAAATAATAAAAATAATAGAGACAAATATAAAATAATTATGCACGGGATTAGTATGTATTCATTGTTAGAGAGATTTATTATCATTACGAAAATATAATATTCAAAGACAACAAGGACAAGGACAAGGACAGTGTTATTTGTTATGATGATTAAAAAGATAATTTATTAATTAATTTATTATGATTAATAATTATGCGTGAAGTTGAGAAAATTACAACGTTATTTATACATGTTAAAATTCTATCATGATTTCTTTGAAATTATTTATTCTAATTAAATGTATTACTTGAACCTTCTGTGTAGAATTATTTTCAAGTTATTTCTAAAGTGATCCAATTATTTAAATTCCTTTGTTTAAATTAAATCTAAGAATTAAAGGTCTGTTACATTTTAGGATGTTAGAATATTTTCCAAATTATTTTATTGGTGATTGATGAAATGGACTGATCAATAAATCATTTCCGATTTATTTATTGATTTCCCATGATATGTAAATATAATATAGCAAAAGTTTAAAATTAGGCGTTTCAAACATATAAAAGTCCATGTGACTTCATTAAACTTATATGAAAAATTTACAACATATTCTTGAAGACCTAAGTTATTAAACTGTATAATTTTAAGTATAGTTTATTAATAAAGCTAAGTTAAATAAGTAGTTTAAGATTCAAGATGAGTTACCATGCACTATATATTATTGTTAAATTAAGCAATATTAAATAAATTAGCTTAAAACAACTTTTTTCACTACAGAATTATACTAATATGAATATTTTCTTATAATTAAATAGAGATGTCTAAATTTCAGCGATATGAACATTGCTATCTTCTAACACCATACACATGTACTGATGATTCACATTTGATAATAGATACTGGATCCTCATTGCAAGTTCTAGATAATTATTCACAATTTTTAGATATTACAAAAAATCCAGATGATGGTATATTAAAGGGAACCAGGAAAAAAGCTTGGGTACCAATTTTACTAACATTAAAAATAATGTCCTTCCTAAGGTTATTTGCTTCAAATTCCAAATCTGATAGGTTCAAAGTCTTATTACATATGCTTATTTTGGTGGAAGAATGTCACTCCTTTATCTCCTTAATTTAATATACCTAAAATTATACAACAATTGATAAGTTCTGTTTATCAAAAATATCCTTATATATATCAAGCTTCCACCCTATCTCCAAAACTCAAGAGGCAACAGAAAAAATGGTAGGAATCATACAAAAAAAGATGATAAACTATAAAGCAAACTTGAGACCATTCCATCAGAATCATTGGTCTGTGAAGGTTTATTATTACAACAGAGAAGAAAAATGTAGATTATAAAGATTTCATGGCATTATTGATCAAACACAAAAGGACAAAACATCAGTTGTATAATACAAATCAACAAATCAAACATCTCAAGGAAAAATTAAATATGTTTGAACATGAACAGGACAAAAGAGGACAATAATGATTTGAAAATCAAGAGGAACTTTTATAAAGAATTATTAATGATATTATTGAAGAATCAAAACTTGGTTCAATGATACTAATCAGTACTGAGCAATTTTTATCATTAATTTACAACAATCTTGCAGTTATTGTGGCAAAATATGTTTACTTAACAAAAAGACAACAGTTTCAACTGCTGGATTTGTTGTCAAATTTCATGTAAAATGCAAACCTTGCAAGACTGTTAGTGAATTTATTAACAAATCAGAAACCAATTTCAATGCTTGTGTGGCAGCAGCAGGATTGGTAGGAGGGATCAACAGAAAATCACTTCAGATGATTTTAGCTTGTGTAGGAATTACTTTGCAACTTGGTAAAACTTCTTTCCATCAATATCAAGGAAAGAAATTATAGAAACTCAGTACTGATACAGTTTTACAAAAAGTTATAGAGCATCATAAAGCAAACAAATCGTACAAGTTAGTTTTGATTGCTCTTGGTCTCATGTACATAATGCTCAACAAGAAAATGGTGAAATGATCTATGATGGAAAAGATATTGAAGGTAAATTACTTATTCATAATTTTTATAACATTTTATAATTTATAATTGTTTATAAACTTTTATATAAAGGCTACTTGTATAAACCAATAACTGCCTTCTTATGTTGTTGAGAAACCCCATAAAATGAAATGAAAAATAGAGAATTATCCAGGAGGGTCACTTTGAGTTGAGTTCACATAAAATGAAGCATGCTATATTAATTGCTCTTTTAGAAAAATTAACACCAATTCTTGAGGAACAAGTTTTGCTTCTCAATGTCACAATAGATGATGATTTGGATTCAAATAAAATGTTAGAATTATCAATCAGATATTTGCAGAGTTACAAATGGAATGGATTTTGAGCAGCACATTATGACATATTTTTCAGGATGTTTATATGCTGCAGGTTTTAGAAAACCCAATGAAAAAAATTGTAGTCTTCAAGAAAAAGATATTTGACATGTACAAATTGAAAGTTTACTCCAGCATTTATGTGACAATCATGATTTATGTTGGCCAGGAGTGTGCTGAATCAAGCAAAATCCTGGAAGTGCAACTAAAAGAACCAACATTCAGGGCATATGCACCTTTTGAACAAAACAATGTTAGAAACTATCTTTAAGCTTCCAGTTGGAAAAGGAATCGGAACCCTTACAAAATGAAATATTCAATAGACTTAAACTTGTCTATACATCAAAACCAAATGATTACTCTGTATTATATCAAACAAGACAAGCACTTGTAATTCTCCCATCAAAAATCCGTTAACGTTGTGGAACAAATTTATTAACTATTACTACAATATTAATAATAAGATCCGTTATGACACATTTTTAATTATAATTAATATTAATAAATATTTAAATCCGTTGTAACAAGAAATTCGCGTACCTCTTGAATTTTATCAATTAGGAATAAAATTTCTTTGGATAAAACTTCTGGATTTTCAAAAGAAAGTCGATGAAAACGTGGTTCAAATGATGATATTAAGTGGTTCAAAATGGGTTAATATCAAACTCTAGGTCAATTAAAAACAAAACAGCCATTTTAACACATTCAAAGAGATATATTATTTACCTCATTATCATCTTTTCTTATCATGTTAATTTATATAACTAGAATGACGAGCTGCAACACACTGTAACTACCACTCTTTGGTAACAGCTCAATCATTTCCTTTTCTTCTTTTAATAACATCATTAGTATAATTATTAGGCATTTTCTTCCAATAAAAAAAAAAGTATGTTAACAAGTAGTAAGTTGTTAGGTGGTGGGTGTTTGTAGTGCGGAAAAGAAAATAAATATATATTATTAATAATATATATGGGGCGCGGAAAATAGAACTAACTGCAAATTTTACTATGTTTTACAACCCAATCAACCTATTGTTAATTTAAAGCTAGCCGCCACCTTTACTTAAAAATAATTAAAAAGACATTTAAATAAATAATTAAAAAAAAAAAAGATAACATGCTAAATCTATATATTAATAAATCTATATAATAATTAAATCATATTAATATATTTAAAACATTTTAATATTTTTTATAAGCAATATCTAAAGATTCATAAAATGACTTTAATAATCTAAATAATTTTTAATCTGATAGGATTTCAATCCTAATTCTGTTATGAAATTGTGATGCGAATATGAGATCTATTGGCATCAATGTTATCCTATTCTGCATAAATTTCCCGACATCTGTTTTGAAAATATTAGAATGATTAATACTTATTAGCATCAAAAAAAATTTTTATTTTTTAGTTAAAAAGTGTACCTCTTAGATTTTATCCATTACACCATTTCGTCTCAAGGGAACCTTGCTAATTGCAAAATTATTGTTATTGTGGTTGGCAAATTTACTGGTCCATTGAGAGCTGATGGACTACACATTTGCCAATTCTGCACCAAATAACCACTATTATTAACATTTAAGATGTTGCTATTAATAATTAATGTTTTGTAACAGTGATGATAATAATTGATTAACAAATTTTGATTGATCCCAATTTCTAAACTAGAATAGCTCTCAAAACAATAAATAATACTTACTCTGAGACTACTGTTACATTGATGTGTTTGATATGGTGACTTTTTGTTGTGATTCGTTTTTTGTTAACAGGCATTTTATAGTGTTTTATAAAAATTTAAATATTCCAGATCAATTAATGTATTGGTAAAAGCAGAAAAAATTGTATCTAGAGAAGTTTGAAGAAGGAAAATTGCATCCTTTTTATACGTAATTCGTAATTAACGAAATTAATTTAGCAAACATCATTTTTTGAGGGTGATAATATAAAATAGACTAATGTCTTGGTCTGAATGATGTCATTTTTTTTGCTTTTTATGAAATCCCAAACCCAACTTAAAATAAATGAATTTTTAATTATGAATGATCAACAATCGATCAATTTTTTATTTTTTTCCCATTACACCACCATCATTACAATTATTTTTTTATTAAAAAAAAAAGCTAATAATATTAAAAGGAAAGGAAATGATCACGGTGTTACAGTATTATTTATTATTAAAAGAGTGACAGTCGCAGTGTGTTGCAGCTTGTCATTCTAGTTATATTAACATGATAAGAAAAGACGATAACAGGGTAAATAATATATCTCTTTGAATGTGTTAGAGTGACTGTTTTGTTTTTAATTGACCTAGAGTTTTTGATATTAACCCATTTTGAACTCGCAGGAATCCCAAAGTGAACTATCGTCGCCTTTTGAAAATTCAGCAAAAGAAATTTTATTTTTAATTGGACAAAACAAAGGAATGACAAATGACAATTGAAAAGATAAAAGGAGTAGAGATGGCGAAAAAGATACAGTTCTCCTTCTACAAGCTTCTTTCGATTCTATTTTAATTGATACAGCATTATTACCACCTTTACAAGATGTTAATTTTAATACAAATATCAAGAAGTACACTTGTTATTAATAATTTATTTTTTACATATATTAATATAAAAATTTAAAACCATTTTCTCTATTGTAAGAAATATTATATAATTTTTTTTTTATGTTTAATAATTATTAAATGAAAAATTCTAAATATTATTTCTTTTTATTAAACAATTTTTCTTAAAAAAAATTAATTAATTAATTATCTTCACTATCTCTTAATCTAACTCTTTCTTCTGAATTATTTCACTATCAACATCTCGATATCTAGTATTTTGACTTCTTTCTCTAATGTTTTGTTGTAGTTGATTTGATGACTGTCAACTTTGTTTACCTTCTTCATTTTCTTTATCATTATCACCAAAGTGATCAACATCATCTGATTGGAATAGTGGTGTCTTTATAACCAATTCCCTATTAAATACAAGATTTATGATTTAGCATATAGTAATGAATATTTAAATAATAATAGTTTTTTAAAATTTACATTTTGTTATTTTCAGCTTCGACAGCAGCTTTCATTGCTTGACTAGTTGTAGTTCTTCTATGCCTAATAAATAAGTTTTCCTCTAAATACCCAAATTACTAACCAACAACACCAATTATTACAATTATAAGTGTGTTATTCACTGATTCATAAACAGATTGTCAATATTGTTCAATAAAAAATATAGCATAGTAATATTTACATACTTGTATAATAATACGTTAATATTTTTCAAAAGATCTGCCAATGTTGTACGTGAAAATGAAATTATGTGAATTCGCAATTCACATATGTGAAATTCAAATTTACATACATGAAATTCAAATTAGCCAATCAGAATTTCACCCCACTCCATAATAATAATATTTCAATTTCACATACAACAGCAACAGCTAGATAAAAAAAATATAATAAATTCATTAATTATTATTAGTAAGTCTTACATGAATCACCAACATCTATATATGTGTGCGCACACACGCACGCACGCGCACACACACACACACACACACACACAATGACTGATGATGGTGGGTGATACATCGCCATTGAATAGACGTTCAACACCCCCATTACACTCAACCCATCCAAGTTGTTATGAGTCTGCATGAATTGCTCCAACAACATCCGTTCTCTAAAAAAAAAAAAAAATTCTATATAGATGATATTATTTAAATATAGAAATAATAGTGATAGTCACTCTTAAGTATGATCTAATTGTTGTTAGTTCATATGGCCAATTTATTCCACATGATGGAAAAGTATCAGTGTAATCTCTAATATTGTATTGATTAATACAAATGTCATCATTGTCACTCCTACTACATTAAACCCCCCAAAATCATTATTAATGGAATATTTTTTATGATACCTTTCTTATTCCCAAGTGAATATCAACAAATACAATACCTTTGGCATGAACTTTCAAAAGAATATCTTCACATGAAAGCATAATGGAAGTTTGTTGTTACACGAAATGCTATATAGAACCTATTGCTCCTGAAACTTCACCATTATGTAGTTGTTACCTCTCTAAACTGGAGATCAAGTTCGGATCCAATTCAAAACCAGTTTATCATTTACTTTTTATTGCCAGAATGTTTGCCACGTATTGTAAAGCTACATTGCACAATATAAAAATTAGTGTAACGTTTCAAATTCCACTATGCTTCACATGAATCAATGGGGGTGTCACCAACAGGAGAGACTGTCCTATATAAGGAAAGGATGTTCACAATCGATTTCAATTTTTTTTATACAGTTTAGAATACTTTTACAAGGGTATTACGTAGCCCATTCTTACAATAAATCATGTGTAAATAATTACACAAATTTGAAGCTTTACACTTTGTTGTTATCATATCTTTTGAATCCCTTTG